ACGGTGTACGATCCATTAGGTTCCTTTTAGCGAGGCAGTGGGCGATTAGAACTCTTTCAAACCCAAAGGATTACGCCATGGAAGCAGCCCAATCGGCAAGCCCAACCCACTTCAAACCCAAGTCCAAACCCTTTCAAACCCTGGCCCTTGGGCCGTTTTGACTCGGGCCTTAGGCCCTTCTGAACTCAGGCCAAGCCACGAGCCTATAACCCAAAAAAAGAATCCCTAGGCCTAACCTAGGAACCCATCCCGGTCCTACCTAAACCCTAGACCCGGATCTGTTTGACTTGGCCTGTTTGACCCAGTTGGAATGTTCCAAGGAATATTCCTGGAATAATCTCTAGAATATTCTTGTGTTGGCTTTTGTTGACTTTTTTTAAATTTACCGTGGACTCTTCTTAGGGTAATTCGACGTCCTGAATCCGTTTTTAACATCCATTTTCCTAAATTCAATCGTTTGAATAGAGTTTTATTAATTGGACCCTTTATGGGCTTAGGGGCAATTATTTGTGGCGTTTCTGTCTTCGCTAGTTTGCGTGGCTCTTCGACGACGAAGCATCTGTGAGTGGACCTATTATAATATGCATGTTTTAATAGTAGAAATGCATACATCAAAAGCATGATTTAATGGTTACGTTTTATGAGTAAATTAGATTTACACTTGATGTTTATCATGCTTAGGAGAATATTTTGGAATATCAGGGTCAGCACGTGCCTACCCTGGTGTTCGGGGAATATCAGGGTCGAGTATGTTAGCTTAAGTTAAAACAATATCCTTAATTGAAAAGTGCGGTAATTAAATTGCATCTCAAGTGTGTGCAAGGTATTATGCAAAAACAATTCATAAATTAAATTGAATCCCAAATGTGTGCAAGGTATTATGCAAAAACAATTTGCACCCAGTGTGAATTGAAGTCAATAAGAACCAACTCCTAAAGCTTATGTATGACTTCCTTTACCCCACATACACCCAATGTAACTTAGTTGGAAAGCATTGATAATTTTTTAACCCTGCTTTCTCTCTCATCACATGTATGGTTATTCCAGTGCCTACAATCCAATCAATGGACGTGTGAGCAACATGTATGTACGAACATACACAAACAATGACAGATCTAGGGTAAGGGTTGATCGTTTTATTCAGCTTAATGCAATTACGAGCAAAATGTCTCTTCTTCTTATAGTTAAAGGAAGTTAACTTGCATACATCTTTCTTGCCATGTGTACCTCTGCATGCCTTCCTCTTATTAGATTAAGGAGCAAGCTTTACTTTCTCTCTCTCAATCTTGGTTTTGCCTTTCCCCTTGAACCGGTCCCCCCATTTTAGACTCACCTTGAGTCAAAAAGTTTGTAGCTTGGGTAGTATCTTGGCGCTCACCTTCTAGTTCAACATGACGCAATATGCCATAGAAGTTCTTAATTTGATCATTGTGTCATGGTCTGTTGGAGGGCACCCTATAAGTCTAGATGAACCTAATCACAGCTTGAAATTGCTGCTCATTGGTGATGACACTTCCAATAGCTTTCAAATCTTATATCATGCTAGACATCTTTCTCAGATGTTCAGATATAGAGTGCTTGGAAACCACATCTTATACACCTCAAACTTCAACACTAAACTTTGCAGCATAGTGGTTGAGGTGCCACTGAAAGAAAATTTTAGCTAGTTTCACATCTTCTTTGCAGTCAAGTATGATTCTTCCTCACCAATTAGATCATCATGCATGCTACTTAACATAGTAAAACATAGTAAAACGAACAATTTAATCTTTCTTAAACCAAGATTCATAAGACCTTACTCTAGCTTTATGTTGAGCTGTAGTGGTTCCATCTCTCTCAATGTCAAGCTCAACCATCACAACATCTAAGGGCTTCAAGAGCTCTTGTTCATTGAGAAGATATTGGATCTTCTTATGCCAAATATCATAACTGGTTCCAACCAACTTTTCACCTTTGGTCAAATCAACAACAACATTTTTGGTAGCCATTTTCTACAAGGGTGAAGTAGTTTTTGACATTATTGTTTACACATCTTATACCATTTATTTCAAAAATCCATTAGAAAACATTTCACTTTTGTCATAGATTGAGATCGAAGAATCTGTTAAGTCGCTCGTAACTACAACTAAATTCTAAGAGTCAAGATCATACTTTCTAATTATTTTTGAAATAAATTTGATTTAAAATGTGGTTATGTTTTAAACTCCTTTTCATACATTATCCAAAAGAGTGCAAAAAAAAAAAAATATTGGGTAAAAGCCCAAACAATCATATCGCTTCTATGCATAACAGGCCTTTCCTTTGGATTTAAATTAGAGTTTTACAAAATGGGCTCGATAAAAGTGTGGCCAGGTCTATATTCAAGAAGGGTTGTAGTGCTAAGCCTTTAAAAACCAACCCTTGTAAACACCCAAGGTGACTCCTTAAAGATCCTTCCTTGATGCCAGATCAAATAATAAAGTAATTGTAAGAGCATGATTTTCTAGATACGGAGTAAGGTGATCGGAATACGACTACCTCAGAAGTCTTATCATGGACTCAACAACTTTCATAACGAAGTTGCACAGACAGATTAGTGATACTACCATCATTCGATTCTGGAGCAGTGGGCAAAGTGCTTCGTTCAGATTAACCATGCTTGTTCCGCAAGATACAAAAACCTGATGCACTATGAAATCATCTAGTTTTCCTATATGTGGGACCATACTTTTCCAGATGCCGCTATGATCTTATTCCAGAATCAGTGGGCGAAATCTAACTACATTACTGAGATTGACCATGCTTGTTCCGCAAGATACAGAAACCCAATCTAGTAAGGAATCAGCGGGTTTCCTATAATCTTGGCGTCCTTAGAATCTAAGGTTTAGTGTGCGCCGCAAGTAACCACAATCCTAAGACGCTGCAATATCTACTTCCTAGATATCCTCTAGAATTCCCTTGGTTTAATAAGGATTCTACTATCCTAACCTAGAAGGTCCCTTCCTCGACTGTATAAATAAATCATTCTAGGGTTCATCTTTGGTAATGCAATTCTGCACACTTATTCCATAGCCTACTGCTTGAGTCTTAATATTACTTACTAACTTAAGCGTTAGAGAGCCTTTAACCAACACACTCTCAATCTTTGGCTTACCTACAATTGTTTGTTTGTTTACAGGTACACAGATTTAAGCATATCCACTCACAGATTTGGTTCCAACAATTGGTGCTTTCATTAAGAGTGAACTCATATTCCTCCTAACTAGATCACTCTACCAAAATCATGAGTGCAGAAGAAATCATATTCAACACTAAAATTAACTAGACATCTAACAACAACCCTGCTCTAAATGTCTTTGTCTCATAGGTCAAGGGCAACCCATCTCATGGCACCACCACCACTCTAGTAGTAGGCAATTAAATGCCTTATGTTTAATCGTCGTACTTTCTTAAGTTTCATAATTTTATTTTTCATCTATTACTTTAACGTTGAAAACGAACCATGAATTGAGACCATGAAGGCTTAATTGTTAATTTTACAACTTTGGAGGACAATTGGGTAATTTCACTTAAATAATTTTAAGTGGGACTTAACCCACATCCGGCCCACTCTCTCTCCCTCTTCATTTCTGAAATTCTTCTCTCTTCAACTCTTGGAAACTCTCACTCTCTCTCTCTCTAGAGCTCTGAGAGCTCTCGCTCCCTTTTCTCTTCAAAACCGAAGCGAATCGAACTTTAAAACCCTGAAATCTTAATCCCTGAGATGAGAGAAACCTAGTGATACCCTTGCATGCACCGTCAAAGCATTGAGCAACGACCTACCATGGAACCCTAGAGCTTCGAGCTCTAGTTCTCAATCTCAGGTGAGATTATTTCCCTTCCTTCAAATTATGGGCTTCTAATTGTGTTGGAATTGATTATTTCTTTGATTTTTTGAGGGTTTTCAACCTTTCTAACATAGAATATATATAAATACATCGTGCAATTGTGTGAGGATAGTGTGAGTGGCTCTGTTACCACTATTGGAAGAGTATGAACTAAGTATAGGGACAATTATACCTCTCGTGAGGAAGCTTGGATCTCAACACGCTCCTACGAATATGAATCAAGGCGTAAAACCTCCTTGTGCGTCTAGAACCTCGAAGGTCGTTGGGTTCGCTACGGTATGTTGAGCTGCCCCTTTGCTTTTCGCCTCCCAAGACCTAGGGCTGTGGTGATCACCCTAGAGACCTAACTAGAATATTATGAATCATGAAAATGCTTGTATTTTCTTGTGTGTCTCTCTTCCCCAAAGCCTCCTTATATATATGTTGAGAAAAAGGAACAATGACTAAAACGCCCATGAAAATCTCAAGCATATTCCAATCTGAATATCTCTTGATTTTCCTTTAATTATCATAAAGATAATTACGAGATGTTATATCAATCCATCACCCAAATTTGGGTTGATTAATATTTGATTTATTTATCAAATAAATCCTATAATGGGGAGAAAAAGGTGTGCCGAAATCATTTCAATAAACTTATGATATGAAATTGTTTTGTTTGAGACTATTTTCTAAAATTACTTTCAATAACCATACTTTAATACAAGTGATATTCTACACTAAATGGAGAAGAGAGGGTTTGAACCCAGGATGTAGTAGGTTTGAGAAAACTTAAGTCATTGTAAAAAATACCGAAAAATGTAGGTGCTCCACTTTTGACTCTAGTGAAAGAAGTATGGAGTGCTTCTGTTTGGTATTGGTAGGTAATGTAGCATCGCCTACTTTTGTGTAAAAAGGTACACCATCTCATCATGCAAAATGTGGACCTATGAGTGTTTGTTGTTTGACCATGAACTTTCAAATATTCAATACAAATGTCCTTTGTGAGTCGTTTTAACACAAAGTGATAAATTATTCTTCCATTTAGTGTATGCTTGAGATGTGTAAGCATTGGGATTTTGTTGTGGATCCAAATGCCCTCACATCAAAACAAACGAGCAAACGAGATCTGCAAGGATCCTTCAGCCACGCAAAGATCAATAATCAAAATAATATTATTACGAAAGACTTCCCTAAACAGCATAAAAATATGAACACTAAAAGAAAACTTAATTCAAGAAGGAATAACAGAGAATCATTTGCATTAGTCTCCATGCTTTATGAATTACACATATTGGTACTTTGATAGTTTAATGTCTGCACATGGAGATGGAGACCAAGTAATACAGAAGCTACAGAAGCTGGTTTGCTTCCTGAGACCACTTAATTCTGAGGAGCTTGAGCAGCTTTCTCGCCTTTGTTTTGGTACCACCACTGCACTGGCTCTGAAGAAGCAATAGCAACTGAGTCAACACTCCGCCACTAATTGCTTCTTCTCGTGCCAGCAAAGAGTCGTTGCATAGAATTATGAGCGAGCCAACGGCACTCTCACTGCCTCCATGATCATCTGATACCCTAAAAACCATCTTAAGAAGAGCTTGAATGCCGTTCGGATTACTAGTCACTGCCTCTCTTGCACTCTCTAGTCCTAAAAGCTTCTCCAGTGTGGCCATTGCCAACGGTGCCAAGGATTTTTCATGTCTTTCTGTGCTAGAAATTATGTATGAAATGAGTCCATCCACTGTGCCTTGTTCGACCAGAAACTCTCTGTTCTCTTCGAGTGAAGAAAATGCTGATACAGCTTTAATTGCAGCATCTCCATCCTCCGAATTTGAGTTCTGGTGAAGCAGCTGAGCCAATAACTGATGCAAGAGTTCGCTGTTCTTTCCCAACATAGAACACACTCCTTTTGTCTCTGGAGACGTTGATGCTGCCTCTATGAGCCGGCACAAACTCATCCTGATCAAGGTGGTCCCGTGCGCGAATAAATCTTGGAAGGCTGCTAATTTACTCTCTTCTCTAAGCATATTGAGCGACTCCAATTCGCCGAGAGACAGCAATGCTACGATGCAACAAAGCGCTTGCTCCACAAACTCTATATAGTGGTACCACTGCTTGCGGAGTTTCTGTTTCAGTTCGGCTTGTCCTCCTCCAAGCACAAGTTCCAATAGTAAAGGTAGGAATCCCAACTGGAGCAGCAAATTATTTCTCGATGGCGATTCTAGCTGGGAAAAAGCTCGAATCTTCTCGAGCGCTTGAACCTTGCTCTCCAAGGTACCCACATCACTAGATTCGAGGCCACGTTTGAGTGAAGATAAAGAATCAATTGTTTGCAAGTAATGAGGATCAAATTGGTTGCCCATCTGCAGCCACTGATTGATGAAATGACGAAGAGTGTGATTCGGCACCATGGATGGATCGTGAAGATTCTGCATTGTGACAGGACATGTGAGATTACCTGCGGACAGCCATTTTTCGATGCTCGACCTGTCGTACGTTTGGCCTGTGCAAAGAATGACTGGGTCTTTGAACAAGTCCAGACTGATTGGGCATTTGAACAAATGGGGAATGCTCATTTCATCAACTTGGTTTTTCATATATGGATAATTGATGAAAACTCCCAACTCAAAAAAATTTACAAATGCAGATATATATCTGTGTGTGTGTGTTTATGTATATAATATGGGGGGAGGAACAGCATTACCAACACACGAAAAGAAAAAAGAGAAAAGAAAAAAGAGGGAGAAGAGAGGTGGTCTTATCCTGTGTTTCTGAATTGTTAAAGAAAGAGTACGAGATTGCAACTGAAAATATAGAATAATTGGGCAAATGGTCCCCTCCACGGGTCCACCCCACGTCTCTCTCCATTTGTTATTACTTCAGTCAAACCGACCCACCACTGGAATTGTTAACCGACCCACCACTGGAATTGTTAATGTCATTCAAAGCATGAATTCGCCAATATTTTCTATCTAATAATGTAATGTTGTGTGGAAAAGAAAAACTTACAGATAGACACAGTATTATCGTACAGTCACGGTAGCTAGCATGACATTTTTTTGTAATGATAAATATCATGTGAAGGGAAACTTACATACAATGACGAGTCAGAGATTTTGTTATGAGGGTCAAACTTAAATGAGTATAAAATCCATTTCTTTATACAACGATATTTTATTTTGCACAATGAGCTGAGAATTAAATTTAAAACATCTCACTTTCAACTAAATGTGATTAGTGCTAAAAATTTGAACTCATTATTGTACATCAAAATAGGAAAAAAAAAAAAAAAAAGGTGATTTTGGATGCAGTCCCTATTTATCAACATTCTTGGACTGAAACCTTGTTGGTTTTTGAGATTTGATTGAAGTCCCTAAAATTAATGCAATAATGCATTTTCTATGTAGGTTATTATAATTTTTAAATTAACATTTGATATTTTTATTTATTTATATTAATAAGATTTTAAATAAAATCCATCATTTGTCGGATTGAAAATATTAAAAAATAAATTATACTTAAATAACACCCATGATTTGTAATTACTTATATTAATGACATTTTACATACAAACAATAGGTAATTTTATACATACATTTTCCAAACAAAAAGTTGGTACATTTTATACAAAAAAAGGTGATACGTTTTATATAAAAAGAAAATGGGTACATTTTATATAAAAAAACAATGTGAAAAGAGCATATTTATGCTACTTTGTTATCTTATTTCTTTGCATTTATTTAGTTAATTTCTATTTATTGTAGTAATTTAAGTTATTTTCGTATTATTGTACGTCCAGTTGTTAAAGATGACAATAAATGGCAAAATGGAGCAATTTGGAGCAGTTTTGGACTTGGATTGGATAGCAAGCGTGGATAGCATATCGACTGGACGTTTTTGGTGTTTAAATGGTGTTAGACATGTGCTAAAATTTAGAGAAATTAAAGTTGGGGCTTGGAAGGCAAGGAATTACACAAGAAAGAAGAATCCTAGTTGGAGAGGAACATTATCTTATCCAACCTTTTCTTATCTTATCCAACCTTATCTTCTCTTATCTCTAGTTGCAAGGAGAAATCCTAATCACATTCCAACACTCTCTACTTGATTTTTAGAGTCCTTAAATATTTCAAAATGCCAAAACCTTTTCCTCCTTGGATTCAGTCATTTTCCCCTATATATATGAAATTCCTGCAGAGATGTAGTGTCACATCCCGTCCCGAGACATATAATTTTGATGGCGTGAGATTACTTATTTACCCTTGGACGTTTTGTGTGGTTATGTGGGTGGAGTTTTATTTGGACAAATTAAAAAAAAATTCCTAAATTTTGGAACACTTAGGACTCAAAGTGTTTTCGTTGGTTGGTTGGTGACCCACGTGGACCACACACACACCCACAAACTCTCCCTCTCTCTCGTGCCTTCTCTCTCTTTCTTCTTCCTCTCGGATTTTTGCAGAAAATCCGTACAAACGTACGGACGAACCTCAAACCAACCCATTTTTGCACAGATTGAGCTCGTGAGTAGTACCATCACTTTCATCTCGTCATCACGAACTCAACCATACCATTTTTAGGACTTGGAGCTTCGGAAAACCTGTGAAAAACCCTACCCCGAAATTGGCACTATTCATGCACGTTCAAACGATGAGTTTTTAGAAGATTTTAAGCTCACAGGGAGCTTTAGAAGGTCTTCACGAAGCTCGGGGTAGCTCGCTGGTTAGTTTTGGACGTCAGGATTGTGAGTTTCAAGTTTGGCTGGTTTTTCTTGAATTTCTCCAACGAGATCCCGTGATCTTTGCGGCTTTAAACAGGTAAGGAAATATTCTTCAAGTTACGAGCTTCAATTTGGTACTGGTTTCATGAAATTTGGATGAAAATGAGTGAGATATCAAACTTTGAATATCATACTAGTCGTGCAAATGCAGTGGCAGATGCACTTAATAGGAAGCCTCCAGCTAGACTTAATTCCATCTATGATTGTCATGTTCCTCTTCTTACGGATTTGAGGTCAACTAGAGTGGAGTTAGGAGTGGAAGATAGAGAGGAAGCCTTACTTGCTAGTTTTCAAGTTAGGCCAATCTTAATTGATCGTGTGCTCGAGACTCAGATGAATGATGAAGAGACCCAGGAAATAATTTAAGCAAGGAATCAGGGGAAGAAGAAAGATTTCAGAATTCGATAAACTGATGGTATGCTTATGCAGGAAAGCAGAAAGTATGTGCCGAATAATGCGGAGTTAAAGAAAGAAATTCTTGATGAAGCACATATTTCGGCATATGCAATGGGAAATTGCCAAGTATGTGAGTAGGTGTGCCATTTGCCAATAGGTTAAAGCTAAAAGGAAGAAAACGTTTGGGCTGATGCAGCCACTTCCCATTCCACAGTGGAAATGGGAAAATATTACCATGGATTTTGTATACAAGCTTCCTCGTACACAGAATGGTTATGATGGCGATGGTTGGCATGATTAGAAGATATACTGAGATCTTCAATGCTGCAGTTTGGCGATTGTTGGCATGATTGTTTGGATTTGATAGAATTCGCCTACAACAACAGTTACCATTCGAGTATTGGTATGGCATCTTTTGAGGCACTCTATGGCAAGTCTTGTCGAACGCTATTATGTTGGGCAAAAGTTGGCGAAAGAGTTTTGGTGGGGCCCGGAGATTGTAGATGAAACTACCAAAATATTCATGTGATTAAGTCTAACTTGAAAGCGGCCCAGGATCGACAAAAGAGCTTAGCAGACAAGCATGCCACTGACCGGAGGTATAATGTAGGTGATTGGGTATTTCTGAAGCTATCACCTTGGAAAGGTGTTGTGCGATTTGGAAAGAAAGGCAAGTTGAGTCCTAGGTACATTGGGCCATATATGATCACCGAGCGAGCTGGTGAGGTTGCTTATAGGCTTGAGTTGCCTCCAGAGTTGTCCAAAGTGCATGATGCGTTTCATGTTTTGATGCTTCGACATTATGTCTTAGATCCATCTCATGTAATACCTCATCAACCTCTAGAAATTAATTCGGATTAGACTTAGGACAAGGAGCCAGTAACTATTTTTGATTGGAAAGATAACAAGCTGAGGAATAAGACAATGCGTTTGGTGAAAGTATTATGGAGAAATCACTCAGTGGAAGAGGCTACATAGGAGACAGAGGATCGGATGAGAGAGATGTATCCACACTTGTTTTATGATTAGTAGTGGATTGTATGATTGTATAAATTTCAAGGATGAAATTTTCATAAGGTGGGTAGATTGTCACAGCCCGTCTTGAGATATATAATTTCGATGGCGTGAGATTACTTACCCTTGGACGTTTTATGTGGTTATGTGGGTGGAGTTTTATTTGGAAAAATTCTAAAATTTTTCCTAAGTTTTGGAACACTTAGGACTCAAAGTGTTTTCTTTGGTTGGTTGGTGACCTACGTGGACCACATACATACCCACAAACTCTCCCTCTCTCCCGTGCCTTCTCTCTCTCTTCGTCCTCTCGAATTTTTGCAGAAAATCCGTACAAACGTACGAACGAACCTCAAACCAACCCATTTCTACACAGATCGAGCTCGTGAGTAGTACCATCACTTTCATCTTGTCATCATGAACTCAACCATACCATTTTTAGGACTTGGAAGCTTCAGAAAACCTGTGAAAAACCCTACCCCGAAATTGGCACTGTTCATGCATGTTCAAACGATGAGTTTTTAGAAGATTTTAAGCTCACAAGGTGCTTTAGAAGGTCTTCACGAAGCTCAGGGTAGCTTGCTGAGTAGTTTTGGACGTCGGGATTGTGAGTTTCAAGTTTGGCTGGTTTTTCTCGAATCTCTTCGGCGAGATCCCGTTATCTTTAGGGCTTTAAATAGGTAAGAAAATGTTCTTCAAGTTAAGAGCTTCAATTTGGTACGGGTTTCATGAAATTTGGATGAAAAATGAGTGAGATATCAAACTTTGAATAATTTTCCAGTTTCCGACGACGGCGACGGCACCGGAGGAGTGCCGGAGAAGATAAAAGAATATTCCGTCAAATTAACAGAATGTTCCTAACAGAAGTTAACGGCATCAGTTTAGTTTTAACGGAATATGCTTGCTTTTGGACGGAATATTCCCTAACGTTGTTACTGCCACCGTCAGTGTGCCAGGCACGTGCCCGTGCATGGGCGGCACGTGGGTGGTAGGAAACTTTTTCTAAAAATATTAGGATGTTCGTTAGGTTGTGTAAATCACGTTGGTATATTCAAACATCCCATTTGAGCAATGTATGAGAAGTTATTAGCTAGTATTGTTTATGTGCTTTAAATTGACGTTTTTATAGTTGTTTCGCATATAAGGGAGGCTTATCCCAAGGACGAGTGCAGTCAAGGGTGACTCGGGGGTTACGACCCTTCAACATACCAATAAGTGGGCTTTTGGTTTTCAGTATATACTTATATACTTGGTATTTTCCCAGAAAATGTGTTTAAATGAAAGTATGCCTTGAAATGCCATGCATATAAATTATGTTCAGTATATGAATTAGTATATGATGCATAATATATAATTGTGGTGCTGTAGACGCTCAGGTAAGCCCAAGTGAGTTTATGAATTGTAAATGTGAATAACGATTATGATTAATTGAGAAGCATAGAGCTCATAAACCTGCACCCCGATGTTAGTGATGAGCTAGAGATATGACACAGGCCTATATATAATGTCA